TCTATCACCTGTCTCTTCCATATCATTTTTAGCCCTGTCAGCTCCAGAAAAACAATCTTCAATCTTGATTTATGGAATATTTGGTTCATGGTTTTTGATTCCTCACCAGAACTAGCAGAATCATAAGAAAGATATATCTTGCAAGAAACTAAGATATGCATGTAATCAAAAAAATTACAGTAAGGGTCAAAGGTCGTAATGTTTCTACCGAAAGAGGTTTTAGAACTTCCACATACAAATAAAGGTGCATATAAAAGTAAGTGAAACCAGAATTGTATGAAATAAGGTGATATCTAATCAAATATTTTATCAAGTACAAGCATCAATCGATGCGGAAAGGTAACTTGTTTCCATAACAAATACCATGTTTGTGAACATGTTGAAATAAAAATAAATGTTATTTTGAACCGCGAATTAATTTGTCACATGTATGACTTCTTCCACAATCAATGATGTAGCCGTAAGATACGATAAGGCATGATCTATAACAATGGGGTTAGCATGCAACAAATGTTTCGGAAGAAAGGTGAATAGTTAACATTGACAGAAATTGATAGTTTGAGCTCATGTAGATCCTTTTTTGCGGTCGAATCGTCTCATGAGACGTGTAAATTTTAAATCCGTTGCTAACTCCGTTCATCACTTTGTCATAATGATAACTGAATAGTGAGAATTTCAAATCGCAAGACTTGAACTGAGAATATTTTGCCTCTATACCCAATATACTTTTACGTAAAACACAATGTTGTTGTAGGTCGCTTTGCAATCTGTAGAAATGGGTTTGAATGAAACGATTTTATTAACGTCGTGTATAACATTTGCTTTCACTCACCCCTGATAAACCTGTCAAGATATCTGACACATAAATACATTAATGGAATTGGTAAAAGTAGAAGGAAAATTCTGTGGTATATATGGTTGATAAAAATGTGTCATTTCTTCATTTTTCCAACTACTTCATCAATGAAAGATAGTTTTATAGAATAGTTTCATTTTTGTTTCATACATTTTCAAAAATCGTACAATATTACACTTGCTTTTGCTTTAAAGAACAAACAACAATACAACTCCAGACATTAAGATAAGTTTCAGTTCAGAAACAATTTTGATAAATCAAAAATGGATATTCAGATTTGAAAATGAAACTCAATATGAAGAATTTCGAAAACGTCATATCAAGGCAAAGGTGCTTTTGTTTAGCAAAGTATCATTTACATATTTTCATCTTTAAGTGATCGCAAATTGTATGCTGAAGTCATACCTTTCCCCTAAATTTCACGAAAATGAGATGATTTTTAGTAACCTCTGCATTAATCAATGTACATCGAAACATTCAAATATGAAATTGTTTTTACGATAATTGAAGCTCTAAAATTTAATATTTTATTGTATAAATTAAAAAAGAAATAAACATTCAATGAAATTCTATATATGTTTTATAACTTGCTTTAAATGTGGAACATGACATTATAACATTCAATAGTTCCGATGACTTGTAACGGTGTTACGTAATTTGCTCCATTAATTGAAAGCATATGAGTTTTATTCATTCTTATGAGAATATTCTATTCTTAGATAAACTTATATTTGTAGATAAGTAGAGGATGTCAATCATTTTACGTCACCTTACTTCATTTTTAGATATTACATGTCAGTGTACGTCAGACTTCATTATAATTGTATTATGACAACATCTATAATTATATCATGGCATCCCCTAAGATTTTTACTATGACATTTTGTGTCAATTATTGGAAAATTATTTACAGTTGCTTGTCAACCGTATATCGTACTACAAGAATAGACACGAGGAAAAAGTTTATGATTTACATTTTTCGTGTGTCAATTTATTTCTCTTTATAGTGGAAATTAGTAAATAACAACGCTTATAAAACACTGATGAAAAAAAATGTTCATATATGTTTTCCACACATTTGAAAAAATCGAACAAATAAATTGATTTAGTTAATAAAAAATGCTTTACTGCATTGCGTTATATTTTATGATAGTTCTCTTTGAATTTAAATGGAACCATTTCAAAATTTTTCTAACAACAGTGTTATTTATGTTATTTATAATTATCAGAAATAACAATTTTGTTAATTGTCATTGTCATTCACAAATAAAACCAATTGCAAAGCACAAAAGAAAATGCGTTGTTATCAGATATTTAACATGTTACTGTGTTTGAACTTTTGATTTGAGGACGTTTCTTATGTTTATCTCGGTTTTGCGTTCATTGAACGCCGCCTTTCCTTGTTGATCTTGTTTATCATATTTTATAACATTTGAAAGTGGAATCTCTTAAAGAAACTGTCAGAGACTTATTATGCACAACATATTGAATACAACGCAATAAATTTGTAATGTGTATAATTGTTTGAAGAAACAACAAAAGTGAAACGAGTTTGAAACATTCTGACTGATTTGGTTATGATTTGTTGATATGAAGTGAATTAGAATTTTATCGTTTTAATAATGTGTTTCGGATTTACCATCGTTTATCTTTTTTCCAAATGCTTCATGTAACTACTTGTTTTAAGTGAAAGACATAATTTGTCGCTATCACAACTTTCATTTATACATACGCCATTCTGATTACTAAGGTGCCGTTATTTGAAAGTATTGTCATTTTGCAGGATATATCTGTCTGTTTATCTATCAAAAAATGTGTGATACTTTTAGCACGTTTAACATTTTAGAAATAAGCTGTAGATTTACCACGTTTAACATTTTAGAAATAAAATAGTCCGTCCGTTCAACAACAATCTGATGTATTGGTAATTTAGGAGCGCTGGGTCGATACAGGGCGATGCCAACTTCTCTGTGACAGTTAACCTTAAAAAATAAGTCTATATGATCATTTGTGTCAATTTAGATTGGACTGCATTTATATGTAAGTTGTCTGAACAGTTTCCATGTATAACTGATACAATGTTTTAGTGGCGAAGCATTGATTCTCAATGATAGTTAATAGACTTATCAACCGCTTGCTTTCAACCGTGCTGAATACTTGTTTGTGGTCATAGTATTTATAATTCAAATTGATAAATATGTGACGAAGAATAAAAATGCTTCATTTGTGTATTTTGTTTGTATTTTTATAAACGTATAGGCTGGTGGGTTACGATGTTGCTAGATATAAATAAAACTGGGTTCAAAATAAGGTCGTAAAGCAATAAAAAAGAAAAAAAAAATCATAGATCAAGTGAAGAAGTTGATATAAAATATATGCCAGAGAATATAAAGAAACACACTCGTATTTAAATTGAAAATAGATTGTTTTGTCTTATTCATAGTCCGATTTAAAGAAAAAAATGTACAACGCTTTTCAATGTTGGTGGTTATTCAAAATAAGTACGGTTACTAATAGTCTGGAAAATTGGGATGACAATGATCTGACTCAATCAAACCGAGTCTGCTATTTTCATGTAATTTTGTTGTTTTTAATGCTTCCGAGGGACCATTTTTTACCAGATATTTATACATCACAATAACAGGTGTCAAGTGATGCGTGTCATCTGTGAAAGGTTGCCCCGTACTTCACTTAATTGATTTTTTATTTTTTTCTTCAGGATCATTGAGTCCAGCAGTTTTACGTGTTGATAATTGAGCGTCAGGGATGTTGCACTGTTTCATTATCCCTCATGTTCAGACTCAATTACTCCAAGTTTGCAATGGACATGTAATTTTTATGTTTTTATTGATTCCGTTTGATTACATTTTTACCAGATATTTAAGATTAACGCCGCGCTATAATGTGAAGATCAGACCCCGACTGTCCATACGATTTCGTTACATCTCTTTAAATCTTTAACCACACCGAGTATTTCTTTTGAAATTTACAAAAACTGTGGATGTTGGGGAAATAGCAACTTTCAGATTGCATTGATTACAACTATCTTCAAAATAAATCGGAATAAATAAACTTGTGTAGTTAGGAGTGTAAAAAGCTTTAGTAACGATAAAAACATCAAAAACATCGTAGAATCTTATTTCAAAAATTCAAATATGTTTTCAAAGGCCTATTTTGTACAAAACATCACTCGTCATCAATCAGCCCCATGCATGTTCTGATTTCAACAATCAATGGGCTTTGAATTTGCTATTTCGTTTCTGTTGTCTACGATTATAGGAATGAAAAATAGATGCTAACCTATTTGTGAAAATATTTTATTATTCAAAGTTAGCTTAATGAGACATCTATCTCATCTCATCTGTTATTCTATGATTCAATAAACGTTATTCCATTGAGTACCAGTCTAGTATCAAACTAGAAAAAAGAGAATTATCTGTTCAGAAAAAGAGGTCACAAACAATAAAGTTTGCATTTTTTCTTAATTTTTACAGCATTATTATTCATATTTTGGCATTATAGTAAAAAATACTAATTTTTTAATTTGCTATCCATGACTATAATGGATTTTACTGCAGCATAACTTAATTTTATTTCACTGGGATGAAGTACAGTGAATGCAAACAGCATTTAATACCTGCTCTTGCCAGTATTAAAAAATGAAACATTATGGCATAATTGTTTAAATAAGTAAATCAATTTGACAAGTGTAACCGTTGCTAAGCACGAGGTTTAAAAAAAGAGAGTAAATATAAAAGAGGTTAATATTTTCACGGACTGATAGACTGCAATTGCGGTAAATACTAGCAGCGTATTAATAATCATCAAAGTACTGCGTAGAAAATATCCTGTTTATTCAGTGTGTGAAGTGTATTCATAGTCAGTAAAGTATCAACAAATATTACAGGAGGGGGGTGGGGAGCTTGCCTTGGATTTTAGATGGTTTTGAAACATTACCAATTAGATATCAATCTAATACCTCAAATCTGTGCTTATATCAACATCATGCTTTTCGAAAGTCATTGAAAGACTATTACTCTTCTAATATTTACCATTTTTATGTATCAGTTAAAGTTAAATGTATTGATATAAATATTGTTGTACTGAAAAAAAAACATGATATCCAGAAATATAAAAACAAGTGTAACATTTATCACAATTTATATTTCAACTAATATATGTTTTTGTTATAAAAGAAAGAAAAAAGATATAATTTTCAATTAACACAGTCATGCAAATTATGTTCGCAATTAATAAAAGTTTTAAGACGCATACTATCTTGCAAACATTAAACAAATATATTTACATCTATTTGTAAAATCTAAACATTTTAAATTGGCAACACTTTCACCAGCTTCATTGATCGGTTCGTATTGTTATCTAGATTTATAGAGGAAACGATGTAGACATAATGTCCGCGTTAATTACAATTGTTTCTCTTGTAATTTGTTGTAAGTCGTTAAAGCCCTGTGTTTATGTCCTTTTCTATTGACAATCGCAGCTTGTCCTTAATTAGACTATAAAGCGTTAGTTCTAAATTGCTGAATGTCGTGTAGTAAACGTTCCAAAGTAATGCAAAATTCATTTTAAATGAGGATGATCATTTGCTCTTTAAGGCTTCACAGTGTTGATATATACTCTAATTATTTCAAAACATATCAAATTATTAATATTGTACCGTTCTAAAGTGAACATAAATTGCTGCGTATATAAAAACTTGAAAATGAACCAGAATTTCCGTACTTGTAGCCAGATGCATTGATGTATTGAATTCTTAGAAAAAAAGTAAGAATGATATAAATCATCAATAATCTTATCTAAATGTTACATAACTGTGCATGTACCAAACGAATTAGAAAATAAAAGTAGACAACAATTTACGTGATTCTTCTTTGGAATTTTGTTAAATTTGACTTCGTAGTTTTTCCATTGAAAACTATCTGGTTAAAAAGAAATTGAATGAGATCGAGATGAAACACCTTTGTCATGAATAAATTGTTTTCTTAAATGTGATAAAAACAACTAACAGTCTTTACCATAAACTTTGTATCAGACCATAGAATAATTTTATTTTACTGATTATGATATGGATCTGACATATATGTTCTTTTCATCCGAATATTAACACATATTGTGCCCTCATAGTCTTTCACAAGCTTGTACTTCTATGATAACAGTCCTGTAAAAAACAAAATTATATAAATCATAAATTAAATATTATAAATTGCTTTTTTGCCTTAGCGAACATTTGGTAATAAAATGATTTATATTTCGTTTGCTCGTTTACTCATATTGTTCTCTATATGCATTGTGTATAATTATAACTGATATATCATGGCACCAACAGCAAGTTTTTAATATCAAGAATATAACAAAAACAATGCACAAATATTACAAATTAATTTGTAGTGAAAAGAATGCGACATCTGAAACAAAAATAATTGTTACAGCATATTTATTTAAATATATGAATTTGAGCTGAAAAGCGAATTTTATTTAAGACTTACTTTGTACTTTTTCAATAAGTCTTGACAGGTTCAATAGGAACTACGAAACGCAGTATTCGGAAATACGAATGTCAAAATGATAAAAACAAACCTGCTACACAGGCGGTCAGATAACTTGCAATTGTGCCAGTTATCAATAGCTTAACTGCCAGTTTAGATAACTCGTCAAGTCTATGAGGAACAAATGCAGTAATCAACCCAAATGCCACTCCAACTGTAGGAACTGATGCAAAACCGCATAATGCGTATGTAATTATTAATTCAGATCGTTCCTGTAAAACATAATATAGCAAAAATATCGCATTTGTGTCAAAGCCATCATTAAATACATTTCTTGAAATTTGTTTGAATATTTTAGAAACTTCGTTTTAAATATGTTCAAATCAATGACTTTTCACTTTTGTTACATATGGCATTTTAATTAATAAGAACTGAAAGATGTTTTAACTTACATTGTTTACATATAACTTATCAACAAACAAATCTGTTAACACAACTATAGTATTTCAGCCCATGTATTGCATACACTACTTTTGCGTTTATGCAAAGAGACCGAAAAGACTGCGCTGAATGTTGGAATAAAGCTGACAAAGATTTTGATTGATTGCTTTTTAACAAACCGAAAATATACCGCCAACCAATGTCTCATTCCAGTATGGAAGTAAGATGTCTTTTGTCCTGTCATACTCTATTGACAGATTAAAGGTCGCTGTAAATTCTTCTAATCGTTCTCTATTTCTTATTAACTGACCAACGTAGATATACGGAACTCCTGGACTAGACAATGTTCGAAGTCCAAGATATTCGCCGGCTCGTAGACAATCTTCTGCATCGACACCCATCAGGTAAACGAATGGATAAAAAAGGTACGATAAAATCAGCTGAAAAGAAGGTCAAAATACATCCCATTCGTTTGAAAACAACAAACACGAAACATTTAAGCTATTTCTTTTCAATTTGGCGACCTTGTTTATAGTAATCTTGAAATCTTGTTATATAGAACTCGAACCGCATTACATACGAACTGTAAATGCTTTATTTCATTAATTTAGTTACTTAATATGACCATGACAATTAACATGTCGTTATTAGTGTACCGTTAATTTTAAAGTGAATAGCCAGTTAACATGATTTGAAAACTTTGTAAAATTTGTAAAAAAAAAAATAATAATAATAAAGACTCGTTTGAGAAACTGAAATCTTTAAACTGAACTTGAAACTAAATTACATTCAATGAAATGTCAATGTTCACTCTATCACCAAACCATTTTACGGTGCTGTTTGTGAGTTCTAATAATGCGAGTGAGACAATCAGAATGCCAATTATACTTGTAGCAAGTTTCATTCCATTCGTTGTACCAAGTACAAGTGCTTCACCAACGCTTCTTGGTTGAAATAGACTAAAAATATTTTCAATTAACTAAATATGTTATATATTTTTGAAAGATAGCTGTAAAATCAATACATAAGGACTGATTTCAAGATACAATTGTGTAATCAACTTGCACGTAATCATGTATCTGAGTTATTTGTTTTTACAAAAGAAATATTATTTAATTTTCTATAATTAATGATACTGTTGCGGGCCAGTTACACAGGCGGTCGGTCGCCAATCGGCCATTTAATTTTAATTTTACTCGCTGTTATGATCGGTTGTCATGCGTGATTTTATTTCTAGTTTTCTATGTAAACGGCCATCGGTGACAGAAAGAAAATTCAAACGAGGTTGGGTCGGTGATAAAAATGCTGAAATAATATCGGTTTTTATCGTTTGTAAATCGGAGCTAAATCGGGCGTAACGCTGATTAATCGGTGTTTGATAGCTAGTCATTAGTGGTTAAACACTTTCCGTCAGATATGGCCGGTGATTCATATTTGGTTATCTTTGTCTGATCGGCGATATCGGTGATTAAGAGCTTGCATATCTCGTGATATAGCTTGCTGTCGGTTATTTGTAAAATATTTTCACCGATTGAGAATTTTTAACATGTTTAAATAACTCAATCGGTAATTTTTACCGATGAAACTTATCTTTCCCCAATAGCAGTAGATAGGTGGAAAACAGGTGACCAATAGGTGATATCGGTATTAAATACGTTGTCATCGGTTCACTACATAATTTGGTTTAAAAAACAACCGATCAATAACCGATGGCTCTGTGTAACTGGGGTGTTAGATAACTGTGTACAACGTTTATAGGTCATTTTGTAAAAACCAATCAATGTTAAATATATAATCTATTGCTCGGGTTTAAATGATAAGCGTGTCACATGTATTAAGAAATGAGTAATTAATCTATTAATTATGGTAAATGTACACCCAGCTATAAATAATGTTAAATTAACTGTTGGCAGTTTGTTACTTGCAGCACAGGAATAGTGCAGGAAGCATTGTAATTCGTCATATAACTTTCCTTTGGTGTTGTACAAAATAAAAATATTCTAAGTACTATTAACACATCTTATTTAATACTTAAAAATATTGAAGAAAATATTTGTCAAGATATAATCATTTACTCAGACTTAATATCTGTTTTCATAGTCTTCACTGGAATATTTGCAGTCTCATCTTCATTCAAAACTCCACTTTCCTTTTCTTTCACAGGACTTTGATCTTTTGTTGTTAAGTCTTTATCAAAAATTTCGGTTTGCGTCGTTACATCAAGTTCAATTTCTTGCATGTTAATGTCCGTTATTTTGACATCTGTATCAGGGTAGACAATTTTAGCACAAACTAATGCTGCGGGTGCTGACATGGCTGATGCTGCTAATAAATACTTTACTGGAACCTAGAATAATTAAGCATACAAATTGTCTGACAGGGATGTCTTTCAAACTTAAGTTTAAAATTGTGCAATGTTTCAAATTCTTGACGTGTAAATTAAAGTTTTCAGTTAAAACAATATCTTTGACTTACTCCAAATGCTATATATTGAATCAGCGCTGTTCCGGCAACGGATGAGAGACCTCCAACATTTATAGCAAACAATCGTGACGTCGGCATAGTGAACAAATACTCGTAAATGATTGCTCCCGCTTCCGCCTATAACAAAAACATTTTTTATTTAAGTATTTTGCACATTAATTTTGCAAAACATGAACTTTAATTACGCCCGTAGCACCATTTAAAACTACTGGAATCATTGATCCCGAAGGACTTGAAAATATAATTACACTGATATAGTACGATGAAACTTAAAAAGCTGCCACACCGCACCTGACATCTGCTTTCCTCAGAATCGCATTAATCGCAACAAAATGTCATAATCATTGCAGACTCGGCTTGAATGGGCATGTACATGAGGGAAAATGAAAAAGTGCAACATCCCTTATGACCTCTAAACATGAATTGGGCAGACATATTGAAACCTAAGTGTATCATAAAAATTGAAACATATTTATAATAGTTCTTATGCTTATATATGGAACATGATCTTTAGAATATTATTGCATAATGATTTTATCAACTATGGGACGTCAATCGCACCGCTTATTCTATAAACTAGTACAAAGAATCACTGTAAAATCAAAATAGTGAGTGTTTTTATTGGCGTCCGCGCCGAAGCGCGGCGCTCTTATGGAATGAGATCAGATTTTGTGAAAGGGCGACAGCAACTTCTCGAGCCTTTTAGTCGGTCATAATAAAAGCCGAAAATTCCGATCGGTATGAGGGTGCTTGATTATTAAATAAGAATGAAATGTCGCGATATGTTACAATGAATTTTCGCAATGCAAACATTTACAAATGAAATAACCTTTTCCGTCAATAAATCGCGCTCTTCGGGGTTTTTTATTTATCATTTTGTAGTACACAGTCGGTTATCATGTCATGGTATGTTATTGTTGTACATGTATCCTAGAATGATCAGTTGATGACCTAAATATTCCAAAAACCTATTTATAGATATATCTTTTTATCACTCCTATCGGTAAATGCCGGTCTCTCCCGGTCTATTTTGACCAGGATTTACTAGTGACCGGCGAATAGTACCACACGTTTATTGTCCGGTCTCTCCCGATTTTGGAGTAGATGTTTGATATCGTTACAATTGGAAAAAAACAACAATAGCATGTTTCATTTTATCTATATGAGATAAAAACAATAAATATGTACACGGATTTATATGTAATATAAATCCGTGATATGTACAATAATTGAGAAAAAGGTACATTTTTTATGGTATTAAAATGACATTATCAACTTTGAAACATTTTATTTAATTATTCAATTTGTTATCCGTGTTTAGTAAAGATGCCGAAGAATTATTCAAAGTTACAAATTAGATTTTATGAATTATTCAATTGATCGATAATTTAAAAAATGATAAAGAAAAATACAATGTACATGTACATGGTTTAAGAATAAACAATATTATATATTGAAAGATAAACCATAATTTACTGACTTTTTCCAGTTAAGCTTTTACTTATAATCGTCGGTCAATATGACAATTGAATTCTTAAAATTTATTTTACAATTTTAATAAAAAAGAGTAGTAAAAACTCAGTATTAAAATAGCACATAAAACACAAAAAAGAATAAAAGAAAACAATATTCATAAAATTTGTATTTTTTTTTAATTAAAATTAATAGATTTTACAATTATTGTATAATAAACAATTATGCTCAACATGATCAACATGGTAATATAACCAGTGTCATATTTTTACTAACTTAAAGTGTGAACAGATACCTTAAGGGGGTCTTCGCTAATAGCGATAACATGTACATAATAAGGGACAAATGTGTGGTACGTGTTGATCATGCGTTACACATATGGATTATAAATGATTGCATACATGTATATCCGTTGCTATTAATAACCACGATCATAAAGAAATAACAAGTAATATTCTAATCTCTAGCATGCCAATCAAAGTTCATAATGAACAATGTCTTTCGTCCGCTCATTCATAAGTGGTATACATTTCTGGTAGTTTATAAGAATATCTTGTCATCATATGTGTACTAGTTCATCTTCACTTGCTGCATTTCTTGCTTGGACGCCCTTTGATGCTTTGCATCAATGCTTTTCTTGGTTTCCCTTGTGATCAGTTCAGTGAGAAACATACACAAGTATTTGGTTAAGATAGAGGATTGGGAAAATCGCAACCATCGTTTTATTGGTTCATATAGGTGTCATAGGGTTGAATTATTTGATAAACGCATTACTTACGTAATTAAATGATATATACACACTTACACTAACTAAACATACACTATTTATAAAAGTACCTTATCTACATGATTATATACACGTATCTATATTTATCATACACTAATAACAATAATATAAAACATTCATAATTACATAATAATAAAGTATAATTTGAAACCAAACTAAAGTAGATAGTTTATTATGTAGTGGTAGCTTATAGTAAGTGGAGTCAGACCTCCTTATACTTTCGTTCTTTACTGTATTTATTTCGATTAACCTACTCTCTGTCAATAACAAATCAATAACCAGTCACTTTCGAGAATCGATATCCGCCATATTTTTGAAAACAAATGTAAACAGCCCTGTATGCTTTAATAACTATTATCATCCTTTTGTAGTTATTTATTGATATATCTACAGGTAAACGTTTGTCTTTAATGCCTTATATGTATTTGTGTATTGTATTTCAATTGCTCTGAAAATGTATTGTTAATTGTTTGTATTTTCCGTGCCTTATTATTGTTATGTATGTCATTACAGGAGCGTATTTACCATGTAAATATAATAGAATCTGTCGAACAAACCCAGTGCTTTCGTTATCATTACCCATTGAGTAGGCCGGCGACAGTACTTAACTAATTTATGAATTGTATTAATTTCTATATGACGTTACTCAATTACTTTTATCTTACCCCTCCCAAAAGTATATTTGCACACGCGTTCATTGCTTCTGGAGCAGAGACATCAAGTAGGTACGCCACTGGAGTTCCGATCAGCCGTACAACGAATTGAATAACTCCAAGATGCATTAGCACTTGAATTACTGCTACAAATACAATGACGGCAGGCATTGTCTGAAAATGAGATAAATATACTGATGGCTTATATGTTAACTCCCCACTTACATGTATATTGTCAAGGAAACAGCTATATAGCTAACTATATAAAACTAAATGATCATAGTATATAATAATACTTCATTTCTTTCATTTTTAAAGGCCCATTATGCCTCAAAAATGCTTTTAATTTCATTTCTGAAAAGCTTTTTAATCCTGGCGTACTTTTACAGTATCGTCAAAGTTACACATTAAATCATCTTAAGTTGTTCTTTTGTACAAGTATAGTAGATGGGTATTTCGTATGGAAGTCAAAATATTACGTGCTATTTTCATGACATATTTCTTTAAAGTATTGCTACTTTCTTCAAATAAAAAACATCTAACGTTCTCTAAAATCATTAGATAAACATTTTAAAAGTCATGTAAGCCTTTCCTAAAGAAGTAAAATTTTATTTGTCTCTGAGGCATAATGTGACTTTCATTATTTATATTTGACAGGAATATTGCATTTTTAAATCAATGATATTTAAAAATATGACGATTTCGTTTTAAATCACCAACTTTACAGTTCAGAACTAGTTTAAAGTAAAAAAAAAAAGACCGGTAGGGACATTTCAACTTCATGAACTCCTGATTTTATCTTCATGAACTCCCGATTTTAACTTCATCAAAGCACAAAATTTATTCAATTTCACGAATTTACGATTTTAGCTTCACGAATTCACGATTTTAACTTTAGGAATTTCAAGTTGGTGAATACGATTTCAACTTCATGAATTCACGAATTCACAATATCAACTTCGGGAATTTCGAAATTTTTTGAAATCGTGAATTCACGAAGTTGATTTCTTGAAGTTAAAATCGTGAACATATGAAGTTGAAATTGTGAAGTTGAAATCGTGAATTTATGAAGTTGAAATCGTGAATTCGTGAAGTTAAAATCGGGAATTCATGAAGCTAAAATTGTGAATTCGTGAATTCCGTATGTTGTAAAGGTGCTTTTGAATTCATGAATATGAAATCGAGAATTCATAAAGTTGAAATGGCCCTTCCGGTCTTTCGTACTCAATTGACTATATGTTGCATATTTTAATGAACGTTGAATACTATTTTGGGACGCTGATGAGCACAAAGCTGCTACAGATGCTAGATTTGGGGACTAAAATACGACTTTAAGAAAGCTTAAAACATACGAACGTCAAATACATTAATGAAAAGGGGAAATGTTGAACCAGTTCCCATATTGTGAGTTTAAGCCCGAGATCTACGAACTAAATTAACTCCCGTCGTATGAGACACCTTAAGCTCACAAAGAATGTCATCAATAGAAAATGGTTTACCTGCATGGCAAATCTGTGGTTAACAAATTCAGCACCAAAGACAAACTCGGAACCAACGTCAGCATAACCCATGAACTCTATTATACGGTCAGAAAACCATACTAATATAGTAGAGCCTTAAACAAATTAATGATACATAAGGAGTTGTAATTACCTAAATGAAAACTAGTAATTTGACAAACATAAAAGCGGCAAAATATGTATTAGTATATGGATTTTTATATACCTTCGTTTCCTAACTTTTAAGGAGGTAATTAACTCTGTAAAAAATCACCTAACATTATAAAAATATATTTAAAAAATATTTTTGTTTTATTATATCAGTTCAATCGGTCATTAAACAACACTTTATTAAATAATGTAAAAAATGGGACTGTTTCGATTTGAAATAAATGTGTTTTATAACAATAGATATTTGACTAATGTTTCAATAATAACCTGCTGTTGTTCTGATGACAAAGAGTCCAAACAAACACTGGAGAATGATTCCGTAAAAAACGCAATTCCAGTTGATCTGAAAACTCTTAGTTTATAGAATTCAAATATATCTTACAACACTTTTCATTATATCTTTAACAACGTAGTAAAATTTGTAATACTGTATTAGCTCTGTTTAAGAAAATTGACACAAACTTACATACTATCCTGACACATTACTAGGAAAACAAGTTCATTTGTATGTAAAAGAGGTAATGTAGCTGTGTGCACAGATATCAACAAATAGAGAAACCGGTAAATTGTTTACTCATTAAAATATATACATGAATTATCATATAACGATGTATTTCACGGACAGATTTGGATACTACTTATTTTTTTTAATGTAACGATACTCGGTTTTATTCAAACTTAACACTCGTATTTAGGATTGTGTTCAATTTCTTTTTTAGCAAACAGCCCAGTGAGCCTGACGGAGTTTGGCAAGGCTGCCGTATGAACACGTCTGCGGACGTTTCTAAATTCAAAATTTTACTACTTCATGTTTAAATGTTGAATTCTGCTTAAGCCGGTGCTAGGGAGCGTGGACGGTAACTTGCACTTTCCAGTACCGTCAATGAACAGGCTCAATCAAACCGAGCCTGCAACATTTTCAATTTTGCCGTGTTGGGCTTTCTTTAGGGATTCTGTATTTATCTATTTTGTGTTGGATAATGCTTTGCTATGAAAAAAACGTTATTAATATTGCAAAAAAATAGATAAAAAGATTTTTCCATAATAAATAAAATACACGTTATTGAAAATTGAAGAAGGAATATACAAACCCTCCTCCTGTTATTGGATAGTAAAACGAGTAACAATAAATAGACCGCCATCCCTGCCAATGATCGTAAACTGTTTGCATCCTTCAAAGCTACATTTATAATCAAATACGCAAAAAACCCTAAACTCCAGGCGACGATGAAAAACCTAAACAAATAGATCGATATATGCTATAGAAATAACAAGGCATATTCATACAGCGTGAAGCAAAGACTACAATCAAAAGAAATGTTAAAGGTGTATGCTAGGGCAACATATAGACATATAGCAGAATTAAAACTGCGTAATGGAATTTATTTAAACTTTGTATGGTCTTAGATAATAATGATAGAAACATGTTAAGTTACTTCAAGTTATTCATAAACAATGATAGGTAAGCACCGCTTTATTATCTCTGTTTTTATGTTTGTCGTTCAGAGTTAACAAAATTTTAACAAAATACGACGGTCAAGTTGATGGAGCATCTATTGTAAATAATAGTGTTGTCCTCATAATATATGATGGACCGTTGTACAACAAAAACAAATCGACCAAAGTACAAAAGTTCGTGCTCAAAATTATGCGGATAACATTATAGTGTCTTCATTCAAATGTTTAAATATTGTTATATTGTTCTTATTTATTTCAGTTATTTATTTTAGATTGTGATTGGAAAAAAACAATATTTTGCATTAAACAGAACGAGCTGATAACTTTAAGTTTATGAGACAAGTATTAAGATAAGTGGTTAGACATAACAACACGTTTATAAAGTTATGCCGCTGTCTAAAGAATAGCAATGACATGTTTACGAGTGCTATATCTTTATGACAGCAAAGGTTCACGACCTTGTTCTATAAATGTCAGTTTAACAGATTGAACCTGGTCAATATTCAAAACTTAAATCATCGTTTGAAAAGCATATTTGTGAAATTTATAAATAGCCCTTCTAATCATAGATGTTACTTAAGTAATTTTAGTTTTTACACACATTTTTATAGTAATTATAATTAAAAAAACTCATAGTTGAATTTACATACTTAAAATTGGGTTTCATTTTCAAAAGATTTCATTCTTAACAAGTTCAATGGTTAAACAATCTTGTGAAACAGTTGTATCAATTACCGCAAACAATAATAAAACTACTTAGAAACCTTATAACTGCATTTCATAAAAATTTAAAAACAAATAATGTTATCGGCTTAAACTGTTTTTCATTCTTGTAGCTTTATAATTCATTTAACGGCAAAATGGTAAATTTGATCATTTGTGTTCATTTCATTTGGTTTTAGGGCTCACAAATACAGTTTAGATCATATGAGTAGAAGCAGGAAAGATGCTTTTGGCTAACCTCAGATGTTACAAACTTTAACCAACACCAGAAGTCAAAACGATGGTGGCTGATTTGTGCCATTCCTGTTTTTTCACCGCGACCCCGCCAAGCGAAAAGTCGAGAATTAATAAGTTAAAATGACTGGGACGCTGAGCGGAAATAAGCTTATATATTAAGCTGATGCCGGGCAAAATTTAGTAAATAAAACTTCGGCCCACGGGGGCGCAGAACGAGATTTTAGAGATACAACGGTAGCAACGGTAGGGGTTCGGGGCGAAAACACTCTAGAAAGCGAAACGAGGTTTAAATAAAAAAATTGCCCCTTATCCCGCTTATTAGTTTTATTTATTATTAAATCGCGTTCCCGGTAATAAGTGGGTTTTCGCTCCGCCCCCCCCCCCCCCTCCCCGCAATTTTAACTTGTTAATTCTCGACTCTTCGCTTAGCAGGTTGCGGGGTAAAAACACGATAATAAGCAGGGGCGCGGGTGAAATTTTATTTATTTAACTTCACTCCGCACCACCGCTAATAAGCGTGTTTTCGTTCCGCGTCCCCGCCGATTAATTCCGCGCCCCCGTTAAATAGCGTGTTTTTGCTTCGCGCCCCGCCATTTCAATATATTAATCATGGACTTTCCCTTTTGCGGGGTCGCGGGACGGAAACACAAATGGCACAAATCAGCCACCATACAAAACCACCTCAACTGCTGGAACTAAGTGATGCCTAGACGCATCGATAATACATACATATTAAGTCGCCTCTTACAACCACTTGGGGTAAACGATTACTGCAATTCTGACCCCTCAACCCGTAAAGGCAAGGGGTTCTGATCAAATAATGTTTAGTAATTATTATTTTAAAGAAAAAACCTTTCGGTAACAAAAAAATGTTACATACGAATTTTCATAGGCAATTGAAAACTATAATAAAAATCTGGAAACGAAGTGATCCCTCGGAAGCATGCTTATCACAACAAAATTACAAGAGAATTGCAGACTCGGTTTGATTGAGTCTGTACATGAGGGATAATGAATACCTGCAACATCCCTCACGCCCCCTAGCACCGTTCGCACATGTGCATAGGCAAACAAAATATCACATTTTTAATCTTTCAAAAATAAGAATTTGTATGAAGGACATGTAAAGTACGATATTTTCCGTTTAATCAGGATATGCATCACACTTTTACCGTTAAAGCTTCAGGGTTCACTACTGTTAGCAAAAAAATCAACGAATAAAAGTAGATAAAATTCAATCAAATTGGTCGCAAATGCAGAAATAAACCGTTAAATTTTGAAAAAATATGCATAGATGCAAGTAACACCACATGTGTTTATTAAATGTTGATGTTCGAATGACCCAAAGGTGAAGTTTGGCCGCAATGAGGGTGAATATATTTTTGGTTTGTCTTCAGGGCCGAAAATATAAACGAGAAGCTATAGGAATCTTCTTTCATTCACGAAATGAAGCTATTTCTGTTTTCATGAAATTTATAAAATGCAGCCTTAATATGACTGTTGCAAAAAATGGAATTGTATATTTTTATGCAGGTGTTTTATTATTATTATCATTTTTATACTTTTAACCTTATAAAATCTACAAAACAATTATGTTTTAAAGTAAATTAATTACGAAAATACTAACCATCGAATTATCTTTGGTGTACGACCATAATTATACATTTGGCAAAACTGTTTTCGCAAAGCTTTCCAAGTCCGCCCCCAAAACTCCGTCTTTGTCAGCCTTTGAATTATAATATAAACCATTCCAAATACAGTGAATACTGTAAGACAAATAGCGGCATCATCTTTAAAGTTACATGACATAGCGTAGCCATAGTAGCCGAGATAAAGACAAAGAAAAAAATAATTCCTAGCCGTCAATAATTCGTCTTTATATTTATGAACATAATATCCAGCATCTTTAAGCAGTTGAAAAAATTTACTTCCATCACGTTTGTCTTCTAGTTTATACATGTTATTATCTCAGCATTCCTTATGCAGTCTTCATATCATTTTCATCGTTTTCGTAAACTGCCGTGTAACATAGTACGTTTTCATACCGGTATAGAGAAAAGTGATCCGAAATTATTACCTATCAAGGCCGTTTAATGTATAAAAATTCTGAAGTGTTAACATTAAGGCCAATTAATTTTCAACTGGGTTTGTGACTTACAAAAACTTATGTATTGCAGTATTCAACGCATAAATGCAGTTGCGAGACAATTACGGTTCTTTAAAAATTCGAATGCAACAGAAAATAAAGATATTCTAATAAATATATTGTGAATATATTACTCAAAACGTATAAAAATCAATTATAAATAATAAATTGAAATTTTGAACATAAAAAGATATGTAATTTACACCATTTGCAAAAATTATTTCTGTAGAGGATAAATAATGTTTTTCCCTGTCGAAACGTCTTGAAATCATGATACATACAACGTCTATATATATGTCAATAAATAATTTGTTAATACCAGTGTTGAGCGGTCATTTATGTTTTCAGCTAATTAATTATCTGTAAAATATAGTTGTCTATCCAAAACATATATCTCTTTATTTTACTTAATGTCATAATTAAAATGTGTCGTGTTTATACGTGACTTGAGAGTACAATATCACATACATTGTCACATTTAAATCGGTCAAACTAGTCAGTAAAGCAGAAAAAGATCTGCGTCAAAGGTTAAAGTGATAAGAAAATATTGCCAGTGTAGTAACAGTGATAAAGGAAGTACTTTTGAATAAAAACTTATAATCTCTGGTTTAACAAACAATACAGTATTGAAGCCTATTTTGTTATAAAGACAACTAGGTTTACGATGTAAAGATTGCATAAAAGGAGCAAAAAATACTTATGAATATGTTAATATCTGACAAGCTAAGCAAACATACATGTATTTGAAGTTGCAATAAAGGCGTTGGGTAAACAAACCGAATCAGAAACATAGTAAATCAAGCTGTTCAGCTATGAGACGAGTACCGTGATTATTGCTGCTTTATTTTTTTTCACTTAAAATGAAAAACAAAGTTTTTATCTCACATTTTGCAACAGGATCTTATTTGCACATATAAAATAACCACAGGTTGAATAAAATACACAGAAGTATGTGCTATTGAGATCACATAAACAGAAATAGAATGGCGGCATCCAAAAACATTCTTTATCAAAGCTTATTGAATGAAAGTAAAATTCGTAATGGAAAAGTTAGTTATTTTTCTGTTATTTTAATTTCATAACCTTTAATCCACTTTTATGTCTCATTGTTAAAGTCAAATTGAATACATATTTTCAATGAATTAAGAAGGAAATAACATTGGGTCGCGTGCCAACAAAATAAACAAAGGATTTTGCTGACTTGTATCACCTTTGTGCTAAGATCGAAAGTATTTCTGACCTCAAGCATCAATTCTAAAACGAACTGCGGGCATATTGCAGCATCTGCCTTGAAGATTGTTTCCATTCAACTGATAAATCTGTTTACCCGTCTATCTATGTAATGTATTGGAATGAATAATTAAGCACGAGAAAATCAAGAGTCGTATTGTTTTCAACACACGTAAATTTCCAATATTTATGACATAAACGTATCGTCTTATGCTTCTTAATATTCAATGATTTCGAGTGGCATCAATGTAGTTTCTTTTTGTTCCTTTGATATTGTTTTTTTACATGCATCTTTTTTCTTAAATATGACAGGTCAGTCTTTGATTAGTTATATTGAAACACACTTTTATTAAGGTAAGGAGATTTTCAAATTAGGGTTAATATACAATAGTATAACCGTGTCAAACAGGAAAAATCCATTGTGGTGTATCGCAAAAAACATATTTCCTTTTGCAATTATCTATTGCATACAATCTAGGAATTACAGAAAATGATTTAACTTTTTACAAATTTCATCTTGTTCATTTTTCATTGTTGGAATGATCAAGATCAAGAAGAAGGAAAGAATCATCAACATTAGTTAAAATATAATCTATTTGTTAGTTTAAGTTATGTTTATAAAATACATTTTAACATGTCCTCTGGTCTATGGCATGTGACCGGTAACTTACGTCCTTGAATAGGTTCAGCAATATTTGCAATAAATGTTGCATGTGCCCGCCTCATTTTAATAATAAAATTTACTTTTTTATTTATTACACATTTGCGATTCACAATACACGTAACTTGTTTGTGTAAGCATTATGCGCACATTAAATCACAAAAGCAATTTCATTTTATAAATTTCACCAAAAGAAAAAAATAACCGTTACGAACATTATACAATTCCACAACGTATAAAGAAATATTTCAATATCTAGATTAAGTTGTAAGTAAAAAATTTCTTTGCCTTTTTCTTAAAGCATTTTTTCATAAGTTTCAATTGCGTTTATGCTTACATCGATAAAGAGGCTATTAAAATTCATCCTTATTTTGGCAATCACGAAACCATTTTGGCTCTTCTTTTGTACAATAATTTAACTTGTTTCCTTTTCAATTTAAGTATGAAATAAAAGATTATGGCGTGTATATTCTTTACAATCTATTCTAGTTTCCTCTGCCTTTACCTGCACATACGTGTTTATTTTTTAAATAATTTTCATCGACTTCATGTCATCTTCCAATCAAATTATTTCTTTAATTTTTGCTTATAATCATCAGCTTAGTATCATTAAGCAAATATCTGTGTCAACACGCACTTGTCATACCAAATCATTACTGTCAACTAAACTGGTGGTCTGGCGATAAATCTCTAATACAAAAGTTCAAAGGGAATGATCGCAATTTTTTATTTGCTTGTTACTTTCATTTTGTTTACACCTACTTTATTATATTCTTTTGGGAAAACAATCCATGCAACTTATTTCAACAAGTTCCGAGCCCGCTTCCAAGAGCTTACAAGCACTGTCATTACATGATATATACTGATCGTGACCCGGTTAGGTCTCAAACCAATGCTTCTCAGGTTGATAAGCAGAAACCATTACAATCAGGCAAACACTCTCCGTATGTATTTGTTGCACACAAGTGACTGTCCGTAACATTAATTCGGTGTCAAACGGTTACATTAAAATGAAAAAGACATGTTCATACTTCATATTTCTGAATAAAGGTACTTAGATTTTAGACAAGTAATACTTTTCATGAAACGTGCGAAAAATGATTTTTTTCTGTATTTGTAACCATATTTCTATTGTGTTTCTAACGCAGTAAAGGTTATTTTCGAATAGTTTGACCCCATTTAACGTGTAAATTGTTTCTATTTGGAAACTTCACAACATTTGTTTAATACATTAAATTTTTCATTTTTTTTTTCTGAAAATTAGCATGAATCTGGAGGCGTGCTGCTTTAAAGTGAATTGGTCTATAATTAAAGTCTGTAGCATAATAAATAATCATCTTTATAGTATATAATATTACACATAACAACAAACCACGAAATAATTATGAGGGGATGTTGTTGGAAGGTTATAGTTTTCCATATGTTTACCTGATGTCAACCGGAATTGAAGTGTAAACTTGTGTCTCCTACAATCAAACTTGACAGTCTAAATGTGTCTGCCAATGTTTAACAATAAATATATGCGTAGTTTATATTTTTATGAATGTAAATAGGTTAAAATAGGTTAACATGTATTATGTGTGTACACACTTTCGTAAAAGAAAAAAAAAACAACTGAAAAATGTGTAAAACATCAGTTTATCATCTTAATTTTTGTCGTTATTTATAAATGGCTTAACATCGATTTAAAAGGGAAAATATAGTTTTGGGTATGTTTTATTCGTTGAATTTTCAAGTTTTACATTCTATTATTATCATTACGAATTTTGTTTCTAAATAAATAATAGCAAGTGCGAATTGCTTTTATTATATCGGCTACGGTTTGACCACGTATTTTGGAAATTTTAAATTGCATTGTCAATCAAGTAATGAATTCCAAAATAATATACTTTATTCGATTATAAATAAAACTTCTGACAACAATATCTGTTTATATTATTCGCCATATAATTGACAGCTATTGCCATGTACATTTTATCAATTATGTCAGAAGAACTCCAAATATGATATTGAACGAATGTATATTATGCTACGAGAACTAATACAAATAAAAACTCTTTGTACATATGACATGATAATTAAATGTGTAATTTAATATAATTTGAGATCAAGACGAATTTTCTACATACACTGTCAATCTTTTCCAATTATATATCAATATTTTCCTCAATATCATTAATAAGATATTGTCAGTTTATCATAAAATGAGGTAAAATATCAAAATGTTTGACTATCCCTGATGGAGTTGCATTAAGTACGGATCGGAAACATCAATACGGTATTATTACTATTTAATGCAATTTTGACTCTTCTCTTGTGCTTTTTGTTAAATTCAGTTAACATAAATAATGAATTAAATATGTCAGTGTGCAGACGGTAAACATTTTATAACATAATCTAATAATTAAATTGTACCTCAATGATTGAAAAAGGTTGAACAACCGAAAGGACAGACAACATTTTGTTAAGTTTAACGAATGGAATTAGAAATATTACACATTTGATGCAATACGTCTTCACAGAGAAGTGATTCTGAAAGTACAACGAGTAAAAAATATAAATTACAAATGCCACATTTCATCATATTGATCATGAAATGAAATTTTTGATTTGAAAAAAATAGGGATACGTATCTATTGATTTTCTCTTTAGTTATTGTTTTTCTGTAATGTTGACAAAAAATATAAGCCAAGCCGAAGATTGTAAATTACCGTCAAAATCTTTTCAGATGGTGTCTTATTCATAAAAAAAATATTTGTATCTATTAAAATTCACATTGCTAAAAATTCATTTCACAATATGTATGTAATACGAATATCTAACATGTTAAAAAAAACGTAATACTATAAAGACCGGTCTTTTTTAACCGTCCTCCTCGGAATTCGGATTAAGAATATACCTTGAAAATTGTATGTAATATTTGAATCTTAAACGTTAAATGCAGAACATATTTTGGTGGCTTGAAAACAATAAACGAATAGTTTGTGGACATATCAGATCTTATAGAATAGATTATAAATTACGACAGGATT